CCCCCCCCCCCCCCCCTTTAAGCTCAGCAGGGGTGAGATGAATGAACATCCATCACTCTGAGCTTGGACCAGAAATACTGAAACCAAGTGGGAGAGATAGCTTTAGTCAAAATATCTGCAAATTGCCTTGATACCATAATAGAATGTGAAATATATTGATATTCCTAGATGCACAAAAGGAGGTGCAACTATTCATACAGATGATAAAGAGTACAACAAAAGGAATACGGGATACCTGTCACCAACCTAACAAACTAACAGACAGCAATCCACTAACAGTGACAACAGTCATTTTTACAAGAGAAAATTCAGTAAAATACAGAGTAAAATTCCCCAATAAGGAAAAGAAGCTAATTTACCTGGTTGCGGGCCAAAACATCTGTACTATTCTCTATGCATTGATGAGATATAGGAAGACTATTATCAAAGGGATTGAGAGTGTTTTCACCCAAACCAGGATCATCAGAATGCATCTCCTTCTCACAATGTAAAGAATGACGAGGTGAGTCTGTATTTTGCTGCATCTCCCTCTCCACATTAACCTCTAACTGCTTTTGTTTAGATTTATCATCAAAAATGGCAAGCTGATATGTAAGCTCATCATCACTTTGTTTATTATTGCATCCACTACCCTTTTCAACATTGGACACACCTTTTGCTTGAAATATAGTTGAATTGCAAAGATTATTTTCAATAGGAACACCAATAGATAAGCCTATATCTTCATACGCATCTTCCATAATGATATCATTCAAATCAGAAAGAGAATCACTATAGTCAGATTCCTCATTAGAGAATTGGAAGTCATCCTCTAACCCCTTGAGCCGTGCCTGCTTCACACGAAGTGCAACTTCAAGTACAGCTTCTGTATGCATTGTTTCTGAAACTGAGTCCATCTTCACTAGATCATTTATGACCAATGCCTCAGATGCAGCAATAGAGAGTTCAACTGCATTACTGACATCAGCATCTTCAGAACATTTAACCTCAGATCCTTCTTTCTGTTGTCCAATAGAATCAATTGTATCAATGAGAGATTTTGAAGCATCCTTTTTCACAGTTTCAGGGATGAAAGCAACCGATACATCTGGTTCACAGGAAAGAGGATCCATCATGGAATGCTTGTTTTCTCTAAAATCGATAGACGGTTGAACAGGTTGCAATGACAAAACTTTACTTGGTATAACTACATCATGAGATTCACTCAAATCTTGGATTGGGCAAAAGAGTGAATCAACATCTGAAGAAAGATGTAGACTAAAGTGAAACACCTGCTTCAGTGAAATATAATTAGATCAAATGAACACATAATTTTAAATGATATAAACAGTCTAAGTAATTTACTTAGTTGTTGAGAAACAAAATTTAGGCTAAATAGTACTTTTGGTCTCCCTATTGTTTCAGTCTGCAATTTTTGTCCCCGTATTTTAAAATAAAAAATGCTATGTAGTACGAATTCATATCATAAGAAAACTGAATAAAAGATAACTATCCATGAATTCTGCCAGACTCCTTGTTTTTCTTAGTTTTTTTTTTAATTTAATATTTATCCAATAATATGTTAAAACGTGGATTCGTAGTTTTTCGTCTAAAATACATTCGTACCATGTAGCATCACTCTTTTAAAATAGAGACATTTAATCTCCTAATTTTAAAAATATAAAAGTTTGATTCTACTGTCAATTTAACATCAAGTCACTTCAATGGTGAAAGGTCAGAGGTCAATGTTAAAATTTCTTGGGTTTTGGAAGTAAATGTACATCTCAAGGGGTTTGCAAGGCTTTAGAGGTGAAAGTGGGAAGGTATACAATAGTAGTTTATGTTTTTGTGTTGGACTTGAATGGGGTAGATCTCATTCTAGGAGTGGAATAGTTGGAGACCTACTGTAGAGCTACCATGGATTGGAAAAAGAAGAATATAAATTTTGAAGACAATGATCATGTATTACATTACAAGGGTGTAGCCAATTGTCGTTCTAAATTGGTGGACCCGTTGGTGTAAACTAAACTAGTTAATGATAAAGTAGTTCACTCAATTCACCTTTGAGGACATGTTTGCTGCTGTACCAAGTAGCATTGATAGGACAGTTATGAGATTAGTCTTTAGGCAGTTATGGATTTAAATTATTAGTATCTGACTAGTATTTTTAGGAAATTGTGGATGTGTGTGACAGTTATAGTGTTATATATATTAGGCCAACAGTCACACTTAAAACACATATTTGGAAAATGAACCAAAACGATACCATTGGTTTAGGACCATATGTTGAATGAAAATATATGCGAAAGTTAGACAAGTGAAAAAGGAAAAAAGAAACTCACATTTTCAGGAGATGGAGCAACACTCACAGGTGAACCACTATCTCCAGATAAGAATAAATGACAACTTTTATATCTACCTTCTTCACTTGATATAGCATTGAAGTCTTTGCCATCATTACCATTTTCTTGATAAGGTCCTAGATCCTTGTTCATTTAAAAGAGAATGCATCAACAAAGAATTTGACCAATCTAACATTCCCAATTGACTTTCAAAGTTGAATGACAAACATAAATGTAGAGTGGAAATTGAATTAACTATGAAACAATACATGACTTAACAAAATGTAAACAAGAAAAACAGCTTTGTACAATTAAATATTCATTATCATGACTATACTATATCCATGTAAAGGATCAACTATATTTACTCAGGTATAACTAGAATTTATAAATACAAAATCAATCATCAATCCTTCAGTTACTAGATAATAGAAAAAAATTATTTTCTCTGATTTGGGCTTCTGTTGATTTAAAATAAAACCATTCATTGATAGTATCTTAATGTATCCTAGAATATTCATATTCCGATCTATAGATATTGGATATCATCCGTAAAGTGTACCAGAATAGAATATAGCCTGTAGTTGTATTGAATTCATAATGAGTGGAACTATTAGAATTTTTCATGAACAAGTATGGTATGAACCATTGAAACTTGTCATGAAGGGTATGTCCCATGACACTTTATAAATATGTGCCTGGACACACTTGATTATAAACTTCTTCATAATTCCCTATTACCCAAAGATCCTATCCCTTCCCTCGAATGTGTATGTATACATTCATTTGGAGATAATTAGATGCTTGCAAGAGAGATCAAGGCTCTCAAACAAAGTCAAGAATCATGTCTTTAAGAAGTATGCTTCCATTCCTAATCCGAATCTATAATGGTGTTATAAATTCAGGCAAATGCAACTATGATCCAGTAATATATGAAACACATCATTCATGGCTGATAAATATGATACATGAGATCAGATTTCTTAATTGAGAAACAAGTTTTATTGAAAAATTCAAACTAACATAGAAGCACAAGCACAAAAGAATATAAGACAGCAACTTCAAAAGCAAACACGACTTGACTCCATTGTACCCACACAAGAAAAATAAAAGGATAAACTCAAAAAGAGAAATTCAGTACCTGTGCTTCATGGTTGGAAGGGGCTTGAGACTCCTTAACAAATTCAATAGACCCATTTGTTCCAAGACTCTGAAGCCAGCATGGAAGCCAAGCTACATCCTGCAAAATGAACATATGTCACATAGCCTTGCAAATAGAAGATATAAAAAGCTTAATCACAGAAACAGTCTTAAATGTGCACCCATAACCCGCACACACATAACATTTACAATCACAGTGATCAGTTGTTAACAAATGTGGCTAATGCAGCTGCAATTGCAACCGTGATGAGATTGTGAAGACATCCCAAACCACAGCTACTGCACCTGAGCTGCGAACCACAATTTGAAACTATGCCTACATACAATTTTAAACATACATACACATGCAAATTCCCCAAAAACTAAAAAAATTTATTTGCAAACATTCGACATTAAAAAACACAAATCAGTGCATCATAAAGAAGTTAAAACAATATCCCTAATACCATTAGAAAACTAAAGAACAGGAACACCCACGAAAAATTGGAAATACAATTTCTGTCTACCTCCTACAACACACTTAAATTCAGATTTAAATTTTCACGTATCTTCTTTTATTATTATTATTATTTTTTTTTTTTTGTATCGATTTGTCTTTTCTCCTATGGGTCACAGTCAGCATACAAATGAATAAAAAAAAACATATATTAATTGAAGGAAAGAAAGTGTAGAAGCGTAACTAACCTCGGAGAAGTGAGGAGGACGAAGAGCTTGGGTAGCCATGGAAGAACCTTCTCTCATGTCTCCGCAGGAACCAAGGAAATTTTTTTTGGCGCCAAAGGACACCAAACACAAGTTATGGGGCTTATTATTGAGAAACGAAATTTCTTTTTCTCTTTAACATTTGACTTAAATTAAATATTACGGTTTTTTTTTCTTTGCATGACATATTATTTGTATATGTACGGAATAAATATTTTTTACATATAATTATTTAATTACATAAATTGAAATTACTTTATTTTATTTTTTAACAAAGAAAATGAATATAAATAACAATTAATTTGATTTAAATTTTAAAATAATAATATGATTATAACAAGAATATTCATTAGAATTTAACATAAAAATAATTTAAAATTAAAGTTAATAACAAATTCATAATGATAATAATTTAATTTGAAAATATTATATTATAAAATTTTGTAAAAAAATCATTGACACGCTCATAATATAACTTATGCGTGGAGATTATTATTGCAAAGCGGAAAGAAGAAAAATATAAAAATAAATTCAACTAACTAACACAGTTGAAATAGTAAAAATCTTGCACTCTAAAATAATTACTCAAATTTATAAAAATTAAAAAAAATTAAAAAAAAAAAAAGAAAAAAGAATCATCTCATTTTATAGATATACACATATAATCATAGTTATCAAAATTGGACTGGACTAACCAGTGAGATCAATCTAATCAAGAATCAATTATATTTTATTAAATTTAAATTTAAATATTATATTATATTTAATTGAGAAATTTACATATATATTGAATATTAATAACATAAAAATAATTTTTAATTAAATTTTTAGTGATGTAAAATTATGATAATTTAATATACTTTTATATTAATAATAATTATTATTTTATATATTAATATCAATTTGATCATGGTTCAATCACGGTTGAGCTTTAAACTAGTATTTAGATTAATTCAATGATCAATTTAATTTTGTAAAAAACACAACATATAATTAATAAGTATAACTCTATAACGCGAGGATGCTAAAGATAAAATGAAAATTTTGTTACAATTTCATTTTTAAGAACTTGAGTTATTAGTTGAGAAATATTAGTGTCAAATCACTTATATTAATGATTTTTATTTTCACATGGATTAAATTTTATTAAGAAAATATTTTATGCTAACTTATAGTTAAGTTATTAAAAGTAAATAATTTTAATTTTTTTTAAGAAAAAAATGTATTGTTCTAATACGTCTAAAAGTCTCACATTGTTTAGAAATCAAAGCGAAATGTGTAAACATTCTCCTCCTTTAACTTATTGAAACGTCTTTTTAAGAATGAAATCATAACGATTCAATTAATACTAAAGCGAACATTATCTAGAATATTGTGACCCTAATTATGTTAGTACATTTCCGATCAAAACATTAGAACTAGAAAGAGGGTCTAGGTCACTTTTTCTAATTAATCTCAATTGAGAAGCATGTATCAATACACCTAAAATTAAGTCTCACATATAACTTAGGAATCAAGACAACTTGTCGTTTATAAATACACCTAAAATTAATCTCAATTGAGAAGCATGTATCAATACACCTAAAATTAAGTCTCACATATAACTTAGGAATCAAGACAACTTGTCGTTTATAAACATCATCCTTTCATAACCCAACGAGATGCTATTTTGAAAACAAAATAGTGATGGTCTAACAAGTGACAAAATGAACAATATCTTGAATGTAGCAACCCTAATAATATTAGTAAATTGTTGAGGTTGAAACATTAGCATAAAGTTCCCTCATTTCCTTGTAAGTTTGGCACTTGGGGACTTATGTACTAACCAAGCTCAAGCTAGTTTGGACATACTAACATAGAGATTGAACAAATCAACCCTAAAGATGTACTTGTATGTACTATGTATGCAATACTAAGGTTAGACGATTTATGCTTGATCATAAAATTGTACAACTACGTTGATCACAATTACTAAGAAAAACTAAGAAGTTGAGTTGTTACTAAAGACAAAGGGAAAGGCAAGATATATATTTTAATACTTAAAAAAATGAAAAATTAACTTGATTGTTGAAGTCCACTTTGCAAGTGAACCATTTCATTAAGATTATCCATTTGAGAAGACTTGAAAGTTCAATAATTAGACATTTATTATATTTTGGTAGTAGTATTTCCTTAAACTTTATTGTTTATACCATTTACAAGTAAATATCTTAAAATTTCTTAAACTTTGTCTTGATAAATTCCTAAACTTTTATCTACAATTTATAATTATAACATATAAAAAAAATACTCTTTTTTATCTCCATTTTTATTAGCCTAGTATTTCTTTAATTACTCGCCAACTATTTATTATTTTACGTTTAATCACTTTCTAAACTATCCATTACACCCTATGTATCTTTATCTCTCTCTCTCTTTTTTTTTTTACAAATTAAAAAGAGCTCCGAGTATTGTATAAAGTTTATGCAATTGAGGGCATTCTTGGTAAGTCATTTATGGAACTTATAAGTTTTTTTTTTATCTAGTTTATAAATTAGTTTGACCTAGATAATTAAGTTTGTTTGGTACCAGAGATATATTTGGATAAACTCCTCTATAAACACTTATAAGAGTGAAAAAGAAAAAAGAAAATAATTTTTTATAAGTGTTTTTTATAAGCAAAAAATGTATTATTAAAAATCAATTAAAGAACAAAGGGTACTCCAACATATATACACATTTAAGGCAATTGCTCAATACTCATTAGAGGCTTAGCATGTCAATTTACAAACAATAAGTGCCCATGTTTCAACCTTACAAACAATCATTTCCAAAACTTGTATTTGATAACATTTAATATTTCCTCACAATCTAACACAACGTTATTGAAAACAATATTATTCCTATGCAACTAAATACTCCATGTCACTACAATCCAAATAGACACCATATATCTTCACTTCTTTCTTCCTCCAACAAAGCCAAACATAGTAACAAATCCTGCAAATGTCTTTATACACAAGCTGAAATGACTACTTTTAAAATTGGGTTATGCATAACTATACTTTTAACTTGAGTACAAGCTAGTTTTAACTTTTAAAAAAGTTTATTTTTTATTGAAGTTTCAATATATTTTTTTTTTTCTCTTAGAAGTAATTTTGGAAAAGATTATCCAAAATGACCCTAGAGCTTATTTTAGGGTCTGTAAATTAATTGAAGTTGCTTATAATTACCAAAATTACTTGTAATTTTTGCGGAATTTAAATTTGCAAGAAAGATATCTACAAATAACAAATTCACAAAACATTTTCAATTGTAATTTCAATGATTTTTTTCGCAAGAATTTTTCTTGTAAAATTTCTTGAGAAAAAGTTCACAAGAAACTTCTTTGTAGGTATTTTTTTTAGAAAATTTCACAAAAAATTTCTTGCAAATTTTAAAATTTACAAAAATATATTATCTAGAAAGAAATTATGCGTGGATAAAAATCCACATGCAAAATCTGCATGGAATTTTAAATTGTAGTGTACAGAAATTTTTTTTAGTAGTATATGTTTTTTTTTTCCGCTTATTTTTAAAATATTTATGTTATGTGTCAAAAAAATTTCTATTAACTTGTTTTACACAATTTACAATTAACCAAATAAATAACAAATTGGCAAAACTTATAAATGAATCAAATTATTCTTGAAAACACAATACTGGTCTTAAAATGATAACTTAGTATATTACCAATGCATTATGCTATTAAATTAATTTTCCATACAAAATAAAGTAAGATTAAACTAAAAATATAAAATATATTAAATTATATCTTTTAAAATTAAATATTACCAATGCATTATGCTATTAAATTAATTTTCCATACAAAATAAAGTAAGATTAAACTAAAAATATAAAATATATTAAATTATATCTTTTAAAATTAAATAGAGAAGATATTGTTATAAAATATAATAACTCATAAGTATAAAGTACAAATATAATTAATGATAAAATAATCTATCTATCTATATATATATTATTCAAGAATAAGAATTTTGAATAAGAATATTTGTCAAGAATTTTTCTTCAAACAAAACATTTTTTTAAAAAATATTCTTCAAAAAAGTAATATTTTTTATTGATTAACATCCAACATCTTTTAATCTTTATTTCAATTCAAACAATACAAGAACAATGCTCAAGAGAGATTTCCAGCAACAATGCGATTGTGCTCAAATCGGCTGCACAAAGTTGACCATTTGTAACCAAGCTCAAATAATTCTTGTCGAACTTTTCTTTGATCTTCCACCATTTGAGATTTGTCTTTCCTCATGTTTTCAAACTCCTCTTGGTACCCCATAGTTTCTGCTATGCATTTCTTCTTTTCCTCTTGAAGAGAAGATAAGTCAGCCTCACAATCTTTTATTTCTTTCTTCAGTCTGATGACTCTTTCCTTCAAAACCGCTTCCTTCTTTAGAGCTTCATCCATAAAATTCTTTGCATCTGAAATTTTGCAAGCAAGAGTAATGGCTTCTTCCTTCCCACGAGCTTCAAGCACTACCAACTTGTCAGTGGTGGCAAAGGCTTGCCTGAAGGAACATAGAATGCTTGGGAACTCTTTGTGCATAAAGTCTATAATATCTTTAAGTCCATTTGGTAGAGTTACATCTTCTAGAGGAAGGTTGGACAAGAAGTTAAGAGCAGTCAAAAGAAGAATGCTGTTAGTCTCAGAGGTAGCTATGTCCTTCAGAGGCATCTTTAGACACCTTTCAAGGTCAGCAAGGGCATGCACAACATGGTTATCTTCAGTAATAGAAGATGAATTTACTAGACCTTCACCATTTTCCTCCACAGGTTGAAATAAACTCTTGAGATCATTGGCCATAAATTCTAGAATATTTATAGGGTGGCCTTCACTTTCTTTAGCACTGTTTGTGTCAGTTTGGCTGTGCCCACTAATTTCACTCTGGGAAGAATCAAAGAAAACATAATAGAAAAACATTAGCATTAAGCCTCAACAGTTACAAAGTAACTAGTTTATTAAAGGTTAGTCCAAGGATAAGACTCTAAGCTTTAGGTTCAAAATAAAGAAAAAAATTATTTGTTGTTAGTTTTTATAAAACAAAAAGGTCCAACATATAAAACTATTATTTAAAGTACAGTAGTTTCTTTCAAAATTTGTTTTAGTTTTTACTTATTATTGGGCCGGCGTTGGTTGTTTTTACCATAATTTGGATAGAAGAGAAAGAAGTTAAACTACAAGTGTGTTGTGTGATGGTAACAAAATTCGTGAATACTTAAAATCTTCGATTTCTTTGAGAAACTATGTAGCACAAAAAGGAAAATAAGTTGTAGACTTGAAGTCTAATTCTAAAATGTACTAGCCACATGATGCCAATTAGTGGACAAGCATATTAATTTAAAATATTTATCTTATTTTTGTCTGTGCCTTCGTGATAATTAAGTACTTTACCTTATCTATACAACATTAATTTAATAAATTATTGTTAATGTTTTTAATTTTCTTGATCCCTTGTTTTTTATTTTGGTATAGACAACACAAATATTTTTTACAAGAGATAATTTTATTCAAATTAGATAAGACTATTATGAACGACAAAATTCTTCCTGTAAGAATTTAATATAAGAATTTGATTCAATTACATACTAGGATTCAAACTCAAGATCATTTATTAAGATTAAACAACCATGGACTCTTTGATACACGTGCTTGGTATGGTTTGGTTTGGTCTATTATTTATACAACTATTTTTTTCTGTCAAATTCTTACAGTGTGTACAGTAAGGTCGTAGGTGGTATCAGGTATCAAAAATTTACCTTAGGAATTTCAACGGTACTTTCAATTTCTCCAAGTGGCTTTTGTTGGTAATGGTTCACCAAACATGGTTTGCTCATCGATTTTCCATCCATCAACCCCTACACAAAGTAATGAACAAGTGAAAAAGCATTGGTATCAATCCTTTTATTTCATTTAATACGTAGAAAAAGATTTTGTAAACTCACATTTGTCTTTGGGTGAGTTTTATATAGAATAACATCCAAATAACTCGGAGATGGCCTTTCAACCAGTTCCAAGTTGCTTAACGAAGCTTCTATTCCTGGTATATCTGAAGTTGAAACTTCTGTAACAAACTCCTTCTTTGGTTCTTCATTTCTCTGAGTCATAATGTTATCATTATAAACAACACCTATTTCACCTTCTTTATCAACGAAGTTAGTTCCTTCGTGGACGTTGTCATCAACATTTTGGATCTTCTGACATGGTGAAATTTGTCTCCTATGTTCATTTGGCCTATAACCTTGTTCAATCACCTGGGAATCTGGTACCGTGTCTGCACAATCAAACTTGGTGTAAGTTGCAACAACATCCAAGCTAGTGGCTTTTACACTAGCTAACAAAGTTACTTTCATACCTTCATCAGATGAAGCCTCATCATCCTGAATGATGTCTTTCACTATGTCCTCAATATCCTGTATGTCACAAAAGGAAGAATACGTTTGAGTTGTTTTAAATTATGACCTTGAAAGGCCACATTGTACTCTAAAACTTTTCAAGTTAACAATGGTATTCTTGATCGCCCAACTTCTATTTCAAATACTAAAGAATCAAGAAGGAATTAGACTCACTATTCTGAAATTTTTTTTTGAAGCTCTAAATAAATAAAAACTTACATCCAAAGGTATTTTATACAGATGAGTTGCAGAAGAAGTGAAAGATCGCCTACTAAGTATTGAAGCAGGAGTTGGTATTGCTAATGCCGAAACTTTGCCAATGATGTTTGTTTTTGTTTCTTCAATGTGCTGCATAATTCCAAAAGTTTGGTTTGGTCTATTAGTTTTATCAAATTGTTCTCCATCTAATATGTCGAGTTTCATATAAAAAAAAAAAAAGAGTTATTCCTTACATCTATCAAGTTTGGTGGTAGTTTCTGGTCCAATGATTGCAAATCTTGTGTCCCTTTGCTTTCTTTCTTCAATGTAAGGACCTCTTTTCCTTTTGTTAGGATACCACGTATGTCAAGTAAGTGAGGACGGAGGTAGAAGTGAATTTCCTTATCTGAAACAGAAAATTTAAGAAGGCTAAATCAGAAAAAAAAAATGGAAAACCAAAATATAATATATTCGCGGTTAAAAAATGGAGATAATATCTATTACAAATCTCGAGCAATTTGAAGGTATAAAGTGAAAGGTGACAGCTAGTTTCTAAAAGAATCTAGGATTAAATGTAACTATTTTTTTTCAAAGAGTAGTTTGGATTTGTGTTTCTAGCTGCGTGAATATCCTTTTTTAGGGTAATGTGTGAGCCTTGTTACATGTTTCTTAGACCAATCACGTAAAAAAACAAAAGCGAAAAATTACTTACATCTTTGATAGTATAATTCTGTATAATGCTTACCCGAATTAGAGATTTGCAGCATGTCCTCAACAGTGGTTGTTGAAGTCAGTGAGAACTTTGGACAATTATGCACAAGAAGATTAATCACAATCTGAAATTCAATCCCTTGACAGAAGTTAATGAGGTCTGGTTGTTGCATTAATACTACATGTTTCAGTTTTGGAAGCAAAATCTCCACCCTCCCTTCTCTCACACCTGCTTCACTTTCAAACACTTGCACTAGTCGAGAATTTTGATTTAGGATCAGATACTCTAGTTCTGGAAACTCATGGGAAATGGAAATAAAGAACAAATGCTTCAAGTTGTTGCAGTGTGTGACAAGAAGAAATTTAAGTTGAGAAAAGCATACTTTTGGAGCTTGAGGATTTGAGACATTTTCATTTTCTTTTTCATCTTCGATGATGTGCTCCAATTCTTCACAATGTTCTACAACTAGGATCTTCAATAAAGGTAGCACTCTTGAGATAGAGACAGAGAAGATAGCCTTTAGTTTTGGACAGTTGCAAATGTGTAGTTCACGAAGATGTTGAACTTGAGGGCTCACAAAATGTTTTGAAATAGTCCATACATACGTTAGCTCAGGTAAATTAAATAACTTTAGGGTATCTAAGCACGAAGTCACTTCTTGTCCATTGGTAGGAAATCCCTCTAGATGGAAAATATCTTTGACTTTGGAGCTGTTGTCAATAATAACAGATACTAACTTTGGCTTAATCATCATACATGTTGCCCTTGAATCCTGCAAAAGCATGCTAACCATCAAGTTTGATAAAAATATTAAATATTCTACATTTTAAGAGAAATGGCTGAATAGAAATCGCAGCATGCTTATAAGGAAGAAAAAGAGTGGTACCATTTTAGAACTATGATCAGAATCTGTTTCTTCTGAATCAACCATCAAATTATCGATAGGTGACTGTGTTGTAGAATAATTTTCTGGATAAATGTCGATTATTTCTTGTGTACTACGAAGTGCAACATTTTCCAATACAGGAAACTCAATTTGGAACTTGTTTTGGTATTGATGGGAAGAATGAATGATTTGACCAAATACATGTCTCAACTCAGGAGTATCTCTAATTTCGATGGTTTCCAATTGCCCTAGGCCTCTAGGAAATGAGATGGGGAATATTTTCTCCAACAAGTTACATCTCAAAATACTCAACTTTTTCAAACTTGGAAACATTGGCACATAACTCTGAAAGCCATGATCATCTTGAATCATTTCCTCTTTTTTATTCGTATGAGCTCTTCCATAAGTTAGTATATGGACCAAACCACGACAATCTTCTATCATCAATTCTTCCAATGAAGTCATGGTTTTAGCAGTGGAAGTTGTGAACAATGAACCCAAAATTGGACATGATTTTAGAGTTAGCCTTGTAAGGTTTGGCAAATTGAATGGTCCTGGAAAATAGTTGAATAGAAAAAACGATGTCCATGCATGTTAGACAATGTATAAACACCACATGTACTAGATATGTTATTTAAGCAAGTTTCAAATGGATTTTTATGTGTTTTTATTGACAGTTAACAAGAGCAAGAAAAAGTGGATTAATTCTTCAATTCAAAACGTACAACTTCTTTCAGGGAATTTACAATACTATGCCAATATTCCGAAGCATATTTTATTTGGGTCTTGTACAATGATTTAACAAACAACTTCTCATTCTAACACACATATATAGTTCAATGTTTACCTGAGTTTTGAAGCTCCGTATCCTCAATGATTTGTTGTAGCTGATAGCAATTTTCTATCTTCAGCTCTTTCAATTGAGGCAAGCCACCTGAGATACAGGCTGAAAAGATGGCTTTTAATTTTTTGCATCCAGTTACCTCCATTTGTTGAAGATTTTGGAGGAGTTTTCTGGATTGTAAATCGCCTTTACATATAAACCTCAGTTGAGGCAGATTCTCCAAATACAACATTTCTAAACAAGATGTTAGCGGATCTTGTTTTCCATCAATGTTTAGTTCTGCCAATTGAAATATAACTTCTAACTCACAATTATTGACCCGAACTTCTTTTATATTTTGCACTGTTAGTTGTGAAGCTTCATTAATTATGTGATTGTTATGTAAAGCCAAGCAAGTATTGATTGACACAATGTAGAAGCCTGGACAATTTTGCAGACTAAACTGACGAAGAGATGGCCATGTTAGATAAACTTCAGGGCAAATGCTAATCATCTCTGGCAACATAATGAGAGTAAGCTCTTTTAGGGAAGTAAGCTCAATATTGAGTTCATTTTGATCCTGACCAACCAAATGATCTCCATTTGTGCATTGGCCAAACAAGTATTTCAACTCATTATTGCATACAATTTCCAAACACTCTAATTGTACAAGACCCTGAGCATAAGTGATTGGGATTAAATATTCTAAATTGTCACACTCTCTGACATGGAGCCTTTTTAACTTTGGAAACAACAACCTTTTATCATTTGTACTTATCTCCTCTCTGTCATCATAGTTAGTCACTAAATGCTTCAATTCAAGACAAGATGCTATTTCTAATTTTTCCAACTGTACCATGTTTTGAGCAACCGCATGTGTGAAAAGCCATGTCAGTTTTGGACAATGGCTTAAATGCAGGTTCTGTAATTTCTCAAAATGGCCAATAGGAGGCAGAGAACCATGGTACAAGGCTCCCAAATTCTTCATGTGCTCGATTCTAAGCCAATGCAAGTTGGAGAATTGTGCTCCTACCTCGCTCAAATGATGGCTGGTGTCAATCAAACACTCTATCTTAGAGTCACGTATGAGAAGTTCAATCAAAGGATCCATACCTCCTCCTATTTGAAATATGTCAGGGAGAATATTTTTTGCGCTTCCCTCAATATTTGCTAGACACAAAACCTCAGCCTTTTTGGCCAAATCCTTAACTGCTGCATTAGATGGATCCAAATAACTAAGAAATAAGGTTCTGTGACGATTAGGAAACTCTTCTTGGAAACCAGCAAACATAATTCCTAAATGTATATGATACCTTTGCAGTACTTGGGGGACTCTAAACTTTTGGAAGAATTCAGCAGTGTGTTCATTGTAAAAATCCCATTTTGATCTATGATCAACAAAGTACAATTCTTCTAATTGTGGGTGTCTTCCAATCACTTCAAAAGGACTATGTTTCATGTCACATTCGGACAAATCCAACAATCTCAAATTTTTCAATTGTGTAACCACAACGTCTGGTAACTCAAGAAATAAACAATTGTGCAATGTAAGACTTTCAAGTTTCTTCACATCACCCAGAAATGAGATGTCGCCTAATTCCCAGTTACGTAGGAGTATGCAGCGAAGATTTGTCAATGATTTGAATGACATTGCCGACAATGGCCTTCTACGCCTACCCTTATTGTAAAGAAACAAAACTCTGAGCATTCTCATTCCTTTGAAAATTCCATTTGGCACATCCAAATTTGTATACAAGTATAGAAACTCAAGCTTGGTACAATCCAATTCATTTGGAATTTTTTCACAACATAAATATCTCATCGAATTGTGCTCCAAAGTTACATTTTGTTCCAATGCACACTCAATTATTTTATTCTCATCCTTTGCAATCCTGCGAGCTACATGGCGAACTAAATCATGCATTTGGACACTTTTATCATCCACACCCAACAACAAACAAGAACTTAAGAGCTTAATTTTGGCTTCAATCACTTCATTCCTTGCCTCTTCATATGAATGAACGTCTCCAACTACACCTAACCCTATTGCAAACCTTGTTAAAAGTTCTACTGGTATTTCAGAATCTTCAGGGAACACAGAACACAATAAAAAGAGTGATTTAGCTTCTTCAGTATCCAAATTATCATAGCTCAACTGTAGGCACGTGTAAGGATTTTGCAAACCCCTTCCAATATTCAGTGGCTTCAAACCTGTGAACCTATTCAATGCAACCCTCCATACCACCTCAGCTTTGCCCTTCAAGCTACTAGCAACAGCTGCAATGGCAACCGGCAATCCTTTGCATTCATCTGAAATTTTTCTTCCCAAATGCTTCAAGGTATCAGAGGTTCCTTCAAATATGTGTGCTTGCTTTTGAAAAAGAGTCCAAGCTTCTTCATCCGTTAAGATTGGCAATTGGATTTTCTTTTGGCAGTCCATGAGAGTACAAACTTCTTCTGATCGAGTAGTAATGAGAACCTTGCAACCCTTATGATGTTCAACGGAGGGAATCCCTATAGCACCAAAATCAAGCTTCTCCCACACATCATCCAAGACCACAAGAATCTTATTTTCTTGGGTTAGCCTCATGTACAAGCGTTGAGCTCTCTCCAGTTCTTCATTTTCTGGAAATGTATATTGTATTGAACTTGCAATTTTTTCTTGGATCCTTCGAACTTCTACTGTACTAGACACAGGCACAAAAATCACTTCATCAAATAGCTGTTCTGCTTCTGCTTTCTTCCTAATTTCCATTGCTAATGTGGTTTTTCCACAACCCCCCATCCCATACAATCCAATCATGGTGACCTCATCATCTTTCAGAGCTTCCATTAGTTGTTCATAAGCAGGTTGTCTACTCTCAAAATTCAAACACCTTTCTGAAAGAAAACCATGTGTGCCTGAAGGAAGTGTAGCAACACTCTCAAATTCTATGTAGTTTCTACCTTCTTTAATGCGCTTTTCAATGTCCCCTTTTCTATTTGCTAACTTCTTTCCTATGCGGTATCTCCAAAACCAATTTGGACAGTGCCCAAAACAAAAACTTTTTTCAATTCTTGCCTCTTTCAGCAACTGATTCACATTGCTTGCTTCAATGTTAGCATCTTTTAGCCACTTGTCACCAACTTCAGAAGTCTTTCTCGTTTGTTTCTTGGCATGTGCAACACGGTTTTGGACACTATCTCTTGTTGCAATCAAATTACCTTCTTCTTTTGCAAGTTGTTCGACAAAATTGTTAAAGCAACAAGGATAACGTAATTGATTTACAGCTCCACATAACAAATCTTTTGAAATAGAAGACGCAAAACCGTAAAGGTAATCCATTAATTTACTCCACTAAATGCAACTCAATTAACCTGAAAAAAATGAGATGAACTTTCTATACAGTAGGTTTTATAATCAATTATGAAAAACGTATAATGTTTTAGAACAATAGCAATGGAACTCAGAGTCAGAACCATGAAAATAAGTTCTAGTTTTAATTTCTCATTCTATCCCTAAAATTGTATAAACTTTACTTTTTAGTCCCAATGCACTTGAAAACCATCCTTTGGAATTCCTTTACAAACACTTTTAGTTCTCTTTTCGTCCATACCTTAAAAAAAAAAAAAAAAGTTAACCCACGTTAGCAGTGGATGATGCAGCACTTACGTGTCTTATATTTTAGTTCTTACATTTTAGTCGTAGCAAATAGGAAATAGCCAAACGCAAAACATGTTAATGTGTGACGTTAGGATCACTCCATTCATCATTATCACTGTTAATTTTTTTTTTAATAACAGACCAAAAGGAAATTAAAAGATAAAGCTTAACCAACTATAAAGATCAAATGAATAATTTCGTTTTTGGTTCCAAAAAATTTTCCACTCGACATGTGATTTTATGGAAAAAAAAATGTTTTTAGTCACTATGATTAGTTTTAATTTGTTAAATGATAACTTGATAAATAGATGGTTACATGTAATACAATCTAATGATGTCACATCATAATTTAAATCTAACAACAAGAATCAAAAACATGCATTTTTATAGAATTATGGGGTTAAGTAAAAATAAAAGTTTTAATATATCTATTGGTCCAATAACTTTTTGGATTCTTTTTTCTAAATGTCCCTAAATTGTAAAATTTTGTAATTCAATCCTTAATCTTTTCAATTGTTTCTTTTAATTAGATTATGAGGCCAATGGTGTGTTTACATACTGTTAACTTATACCTACATATCTAATTACAAAATTTAGAAAAGATTAGAAACTAGTTCAAAAAACTCAAAAATTATTTAATATGGAAATTTTGTGTGTTAAAATGTTTTTTATTTTGAAATGAAAAGAATAAGATTTTCTAAAATAATTACAAAAGAAAAAAAAATTGATAACCCTCTCTAATGCTTGAGCTGTGAGCAATTAAGAAAACATTAGAAGAAAAAAAATGGCAACTAGGAAACAAGCCAAAATACGTAAGCTTACCTCTTCGAAATAATGTTGTTATTTGTGCAGAAATTGCTGAATTCCTGAATAGGCAGAGAAATGAAAAACAGTTACAGCATATTAACATATGATCTGCAGAATTAAAAAGTAAGTGATGTTAGCACACAGAAAGGGAAATTGCAAACTAAGGCAACTATTTTTCATATTTTGCATACAAGCTTGAGACCACCTTCAGAGGTGAATTCCATAGCTAGAATCTCCAAAAATTATAAAATAACTCATCATTCATCCTAAAATAATAAAGCCATGGGCCTTCGTCTTCTTATTCATTCGAAACTCTGAAGACTTTCATTACAAAGTCTTCGGTTCTTGTCTTATTCATTGTAAGAATGCTGAAGTCTTCGTCTTTTTTTATTTTTTTATTTTGTGGTATTATCTACAACGTAGACTGTAGTGAATTGACTTGGACTATTATGTTGGGACAACAATTAATAAAACTGCGAGCTATACATTTTTAATATTTTATGTTTGATTTTTTTTTTATCCACTAAAATTTATGTGAATCTAACTGAATATAGATTCATTATCAAATTCATTTTGCCAAACCCATTCAGCAAAAAAAAAATTAAAAAAAATCAAATTCATCGAACTCGTGATGAATTTTAACTGTGTATAGTGTCATGTTAACACTCCTCTAACAAATGACTAATGAATAATATTTTGGTTTTTCTTATAAATTTATGAAGATATTAAATATAAAAGTAATTATATTTAATATCTTGAAAACCAAAAAATATATATTTTAATTATCTAATAAACAAGGTATTATTAGAAAGATTTTGAACGATTTAAAGTTATTAATGACTAATGGTAATAGTCGGTGTAAAAGTTATATATGGTCACAAAGTTGTTAAGGGTGACAACAGTACCTGGATCTTTGGTTCCTTTAATGGGTTGGTCACAATTGGTTCTTCCATATTCTCCCTCTTGGTCCTTTCTCGGACTTATTTATATGCATTTCCTAGTTCTCCCTGGTTGGTTGAGTCATGATGAGATTCCCAATGATTCTGATATTCTTATATTCAATTAATGCAGGTAACTGGTGGACAAGATCTAAGCTTTTTGACATGTGACTGTGAGTAGCTAAGATTTCCTATAATGGTAATATGATTTGTTCACGATAGTAGATATACATTTAATGTCATGATTCTGTTTTTTATTTTAGGTTAAAAACTTATTTTGATTTTTTATAATTTTTTTTTATTTTAATTTAGTCTCTCATTAATTTTTGGTCTCAATTTAATCACAAACTAATTAATTGGTTTCAATTTAGTTCTAAATTAATTAATTAATTTCAATGTGGGACTTCCGTCCAAATTATTTAAACGGAGTTAATTTTTGGCTACGTGGATGCCACGTATGCATCTACGTGGCATCCACGTGGATGAGAAATTTTTTTGAATACCCCTGGACCCGGAACGGCCCGTTCTGAAACCGGAACGGGCCGTTCTGGTTGCAAAATTAAAACACTACCAGTGAAGCAGAATGGGCCGTTTTGAAACCAGAACGGACCGTTCTGCTTTCAGAACGGGCCGTTCTAAAACTGTGAATAAAATATTCTTTATTTAATTGTGTTTTTGATATTATAATTATGCAATTTTGATCTCTAAGGTTTTAATTGAGTAATTTCAGTCCTTAAAAGATTATAGTTGTGTAATTTTAGTCTCATAATTTTTAATTAAATAATTTTAATCTCTCAAATATCATAATTGTGCAATTTTAGTCTTTCTCATTACAAATTTAATAATTTTAAAATTTTAATATATATATATATATATATAATGTTTTAAAACTATATAATT